CACTGTTCACTGTTTGGTTACGGCACTTCCCACAAAGGTCAGATTAATAGGTTTCTTACACGAATATAGATATTTTTGTTTTACAACAGTGCTTCGCCTCCTGATTTTAAAAGCAGCTGTGCATTTCTGTTCAAAGTGAACAGCTGTCTTCTTTTTTTTGCTAAGAGAATAACGTGAATGTGAGCAGAAAAGAAAATGTAAAAATTTAAGAAAAGAAGGGGTAGTTTTAGCTTAGTAGTGCGAAACTTAGCTTTTCACTACTCCCCTGTGCTAAATTAGCTTAAAAAAATTTAGGTGCGCTGCCTTTTAGGCTTCTGAAACGGTATCATTTCACACAAAAGCTTGAATAGATGTATACGGTTATTCTGGTCAGCGTTTTGAAGGCGCTCTCAGATTCCTATTGATCTAATAATACTACAAATACCGAAAGTTCAGTTACTACAGTTACAATTACGAAAGTTGTTCGGATTTTTTTCCAGGTGGACCAGATGGTCAATTGCGCAGACTGAAAAATATTACAGTTTGGGAAGTTAGTGGGCGTCTTCTAACCCCACTTGAGCCAAATGTACAAAAAGGCCGCACATGTGCTGTACGTTTTTTTAAAATTTTGAATTTTATATTTTAATGCATTTTTGCTGTGCAGCTATAGTGAGCAAAAATTCGTATTGTCGAGAGATTATCCGTACGTGTGTGTGTGCGTTCGGAAGCAAGTGAACTTTGTCATCCATTTCAACTCAGCAACCAGAAAAGCTGGGAAGCTGAAATTTTGGGGGCTTATTTTCACCCTATGCGCCCTTCTCCCGTTTTAAAATCTTCGCTCATTCGTGCCCAGATCTCGCGTACAGACCCCCGAAAAAATGTGCATATTTCTTTGAAAAGAAACGATTTCGTAAACTAGACAAGATAGAAAGCTGAAACTTTGCAGAGATATTCGCTGTGCATGTATGAGCTAAAGATTTTAAATTCAGCTATTGCACACTCTTATACAGCATGTACGGGTCATGTCAAGGTAGCTGAAATTTTGTCAGAATATTTATTGTTCATATGGGAAACCGTATATTAAAGTCGAGCTTTGGTCTGCACTTGCATCACGACTTAGGGCACTTCGGAGGTGTTTATAGTGAACTGGCTATTTTGCCTGGAATCCCAGTAGCTAGAATTTATGGCATACTGGTTCTCGAAGTTCACATACGTCGGGGCTGTATTTGAAAACTTTATGTTCTACGTGGCTGAGAAAATTCGCTTAGAATTTCAACGTCCTGGCTTTCCTGGTTCTCGAGTTAACAATTCTTCTTCCAAAACTTTTGCGCACTCGTACAAACTTGTGTGAGGGTAGGTATAGCAGTTCCGAGACGGCATTTGGACGGGGAACCCATTGGCAAAATTTTGGCGCCGGGGCTTGCTTGGTTGTCGAGTTGAAATAACCGGACAGACGCACACACGCATACTACAATACGCGTTACCTTTTATGCGCATTTGCATATATGTAAAAACGCATAAAAAGTAAAGCTGAAAGTGTAGAGTTAAATCAAAGATGTGGAGAATCTGAAAAGTTGCTAAAGTTATCCTGATCGTTTTCCACTGAATAAAAATTCGATAAATGTTTTTCACGAGTCAACCAGCCTGCATGAATGTACTTTGCCTTTTGCTTTCAGCGCTTACTCTTAGTACCACTCGAATTTGACGAGAAAATGATTTCTCATCTTTTCTTTCTTACATATTTAATGTTTGCTATTTTTGGTGTTGCCAGTGCCTATCAAAAAAACCGATCAGAATTTATCAAAATAGAGCAAATCTGGTTTAATTCGGTTGGGTTTTCGCTGGAATAAGCGAATTTTGAACTTGCGAAACAGAAAAATATTTCAGAAATTTGTCTTTTCAAGCATCAAAATTTTTGTTGTGCAGCTTTATTTCAAGAATTAAGAATTTCCTTTAAAGCCGATTTGTTAGCTGCCTCAGACTCGCAGTTACATCCGACGCTCCTAATCAACTGCTGTCTAATCGCCTTGATAGATCAGCAGTGGCCACAAGTTTTTGAAATCATTGCTTCTTCTGATTTTTCAATTTAAGGGTGATTCGGGAGGGCCATTTATTTGTGAAACTGAGTTTGGAGAACGTATTTTTGGAATTGTTTCACATTCCGAACCGCTAGTGGAATCCGAACCTTCCACATGCTTCGGCGAAGTAAGTATTAACCTCAGTATTTTCTTTTTCTTTCGAAAATTGAGGGACCAGAGAATCTAGATCCGATAAACAGGGTATTCGAGATACCAATATTTTATTAAGCTTTTTAGTCTCATTAAAGAGTAGTATGAACGATGGACGTGCACTCTGGGGTTTCTGGCGTGACGCTTACATATAGAAACTCGGAAACGGAAGAATCCAGACGTGCTTGTAGCTTTTTACAGCGAAAAATTTACACCTTTTGTTGTTAGCGGA